GTGAAGGTAGGAAATCGATTCTCTGTTCTCCAGGACGAGTGTGCTTCAGTGGTTAGTGAGGTTGAAGGTACCACTGATTCCCCCTGCTAATTAAGGTAAGAATATTCTGATTGTAGGAGATTCTCAGGTAAGATATGTGGACCATGCTTTTCCTAACAGAGATAGAAAGGTCAGACAGAGAGTGTGCCTCCCAGGAGGTGGTGTTGGTGACATAGCAGGTTGGATAATATTATGTCAGGTAATGGGAACAAGCCATTATCTGTCTTAGTGCTGGGGGTAATAATACTGGGAAGGGCAGGAGACAGGAGGTGCTGGATAAACACAGTCAGCCATAGAAGTAGTCAGGTCTAAGGGAGGGATCCCAGTCATATGTAGCATCTTGCCTAGAAAGGGAGTGGGCAATGAATGGATGTCTAGGGCAATTAGTATAAATTGCTGGCTGGACAGGTACTGCAAGTAACTTGCAGTCCCATTCATTGGTAACTGGGACAACTTCTATGGCAAACGTGATATGTATGGAAGGGATGGAGTTCATCTCTCTAGGGCTGGAGTGGTTACATTATCCAATTCGATTGAGGGGGTAATTGATGACTTGTGTAGGACTTTAAACTGATAGATTATAGAGGTATGGGTGTTTGTGGGAAACACTCAGGCTGCAGCATTAGAGCTGAAAACAGTAGATATTACCAGGATACCTCAGGGATATGTTTAAAAGACAATTTTCAAAATAAAGTTGCTAATAAAGGCAAATCCATTTATCAACAAACAAAGAGAGACAATAAAGGGAAGAGAGTGACTAGCTCCCTTAAGGTTTACTATACAAATAGTAGGAGTCTAAAAAATAAGATAGATGAGCTAAGATTACTTGCAAGTGTAGATAATATAGATATTATTGGTATAACAGAGACCTGGTTCAACCTGAAAGATAGAGAAATGCCTTCTGAATGCAATATACAGGGTTATAAACTATTCCACACTGATAGGGGCAACAGGAAGGGTAGTGGAGTGGCGATGTATGTCAGAGAAAATTTAAATTGTTGTCTTAGACATGATATAAGATTAGAAACATCGAACACATAATCTGTTTGGCTACAGTTTCTCGAGGGTCGTGAAAGTACTAATTGGCAACTCAAATTAACGAACAATATTAATCATCATATATTTACGTTACTAATCATAAGTAGCAACTCAGAAAATTACTAATTGGCAACTGTATATACTGGCGTCTGCTCCTGTTGTCATTTTCTCATTATATTTCACAGAGGAGTGTATCAGTGAGCACCGCTTGTCTGACAATATATTTACAGGTATAGCCTAACGTTAACACAGGGAAAAAGAATGCAGTTGTTGTTAAACAGCAACGAATGTTCTCAGACAAAGGGATTAGCAAATTTTAATTTATCAATTGTCAGCATCACGTTCTGGACAGGATTCTCCGTTTGGTAATGGATGAAAATCTTGGTGTTAAAACCAGTTCTCCAAACATCGAGCATCCATTTGTATCTCAACTGGTGAAGAATTATAAGGAACTAAAGGCACAGTTAGGTTAATGGAACAGAAGAGATCCGCAATATCCTCTCACCCTACCGTCCACAGGATATTTATGGGTGCACAATAAACTAGCCACTTCAGGGACATAATCTTGTAAAAATATCTTGCAGGTACTCAGTGCTGCAGACATTGTTCACCCTCAGCTTGAATCCACTGACAACTCCTCGTTTTCTCTTGTTAAGTGTATATCAATTTTTAAAGGGGTGGACGGGTAAGCTAGCGGAAGGCCTCGGTCAAATGATCACATGCTCCAGCTACGGGTCATCATATGACTAATACCGGCGTCAGGAAACACTTGTCCCAGTTCCTGACGAAACTTACCTAACGCAACCTCTTGTTGTTATGGTTCGGGTGAAAGTATATTAAATCGCTTTTATTCATTGGTTTACGATACACCCTGAAGAACAGTTTAATGCAAAAACCCAAGTAGGAGCACATCACGGAAGGGAAATCTGTCTTCAAACTTCTCACTTAACCGCGTTGCGTCTCGGTGTCAGGTGGCAGATTTTTAACCTCTTAGGCATTGTGAAGAAGATATATTCAGCGCATCATAGCTATGTAAATAATGCTTTTATTGTTTATATAAACAGCCACAACCACTTAATGAAGTCGAATGACGCTGAGCTTAACATCAAGAAAGAGAGACTGCGGAGACGTCGCTGCCTAGAGTCTGTGGTTATTGGTCATGGCAACACAGTTGATTTCATTGTCTCCAGAGTTTTATCTAACTTGATTTATGGCCATCAGAACACAGTTAACAGGTGACATCACTCACCGCTTATAGCAGCTCACCTGCGCTACACATTAAGGTATATAGACAGACTGGTTATAAATGACCATAATTTTTAAAGGGGTGGACCGGTAAGCCAGCGGAAGGCCTCGGTCAGATGACCAAAAGCTCCAAAGGCGAGTCATCATCTGACTAAGACCCGCGTCAGGAAACATTTGTCCTGTTTCCTGACGAACCTTACCTAACCTAACCTAACCTGCGCTACAGCTGACATCTGCGCTACTATACACATCACTCTTTTTTGTTTCCATACTGGACTGATAAGGATCCCTGAGGGCGAAACGTTTCTTTAATGAAGTTAACCGACGTTGCACAGGTATTGACGAATAAGACAGATGTGCAATATAAAGAATCCCAAGTGCTGCACATGTGTTTTATTCATCAACTACTGAACATAGATACATAGCAGCAGTAACACATGTTATACCTGTCTCTTTTTAAGCTGGTAAACAACCGTCTAGGTTCCTCACCCGGAATTGCCTAGTAATTTGTTTAATTGGCTTTAGAGCCTATCAACTTGACTGAAGGTCATTAAGGCTGCGCGTAATTGTTCACCACCAGTCAAGAATACTTTAATACCTAAAACATAAGAACATAAGAAAGAAGGAACACTGCAACAGGCCTACTGCCTATGCGAGGCAGGTCCAATTCACTCACTGGCTTAAGCCAATGTCTTGACCTAGTGAGGTCAGACACGTCACTTAAGGGAGGAGCACTGCCTCCGACCTAGTAGCACAAGCTAGTCATTTCCAACTCAAACCCACTCACACTCACTCATGTATTTATCCAACCTATTTTTAAAACTACACAACGTCTTAGCTTCTATGACGGTACTCGGGAGTTTGTTCCACTCATCCATAACTTCCAAACCAGTGCTTTCCTATATCCTTCCTGAATCGGAATTTTTCCAGTTTAAAGCCATTGCTGCGAGTCTTGTCTATGTTGGATATTTTTAGCATGCTATTTACATCCCCTTTATTAATTCCCCCCTATTTCTATGCCTTTCTAGAGAGTGCAGATTCAGGGCCTCAGTCTAGTCTATCCTCATAGGGAAGATTTCTGATACATGGGATCAACTTTGTCATCCTCCTTTGTACGTTTTCCAGTGCATTTATATCCATTCTGTAATACGGTGACCAGAACTGAGCAGCATAATCTAAATGAGGCCTAACCAAAGATATATAGAGTTGAAGAACAACCTGAGGACTTCTGTTATTTATACTTCTTGATATGAAGCCAAGGATTCTGTTAGCTTTATTGCGAACACTAATGCCCTGTTGTCTTGGTTTTAGATTACTGCTAACCAGAACTCCTAAATCCTTTTCGCAATCCGTAATATTTAGATCTACATTATTTAGTTTATATATGGCATGGTTATTTTCCTGTCAAATATTTAGAACTTTGCATTTGTCTATATTAAACTGCATCTGCCACTTCTCCGACCATTGCACCAGTCTATTCAAATCATCCTGGAGTGCTCTAGTGTCATCATTACAATGAATTGGATGGCCTATTTTGGTGTCATTAGCAAATTTGCATATGTCGCTATTTATTTCCTCATCTATGTCGCTTATGTAGACTGTGAACAACAAGGGGCCCAACACTGACCCCTGTGGAACACAGCTTGTGACGTCCCCTCATTCTGATTTCTCCCCATTTATGCAAACTCTCTGCTGCCTATTTGTTAACTATGCATCAACCCAAGAAAAAAATTCTCCTATTCCGTGTGCCTTAAGTTTCCTCAATAGCCTCTGATGTGGAACTCTATCGAAAGTCTTACTGAAGCCCATATACGCAATATCATATTCAGTACCATGATCTACCTCCTCAAATACCTTAGTAAAGAAAGTAATTTCGTAAGACAGGAACGCCCCTTTGTAAAACCGTGCTAAGATTCATTAATCAATTTATGCCTCTCGAGATGGCTACGAATTGCTTCGGCAATTATTGATTCCATAAATTTTCCCACTATGGAGGTAAGGCTTATTGGTCCATAGTTCGAAGCTAAGGACCTGTCACCTGCCTTGTAAAGAGGTATTACATTTGCCATTTTCCACTTATCAGGCACTATGCCAGTTTGTAGTGATATGTTAAAAAGATTAGCCAAAGGTATGCTAAGTTCCTCTTTACATTCCTTTAACACCCTTGCCAACAGTTCATCAGGGCCTGGGGATTTGTTAGGTTTTAGTTTCTCTATTTGTCTGAGGACCATATCACTAGTTACTAATTTATATTCCACTCAAGCACTTCCTCTAAAGTCCAGAATAATGAGATTTATACACATCTGATGTTATAAAAAAAGACACGCTTGAATTTCTTATCTCAAAAATTTGACCTCAAATGATGTTTACACTTGTTAGGCTAGTGTGTGTGTGTGTGTGTGTGTGTGTGTGTGTGTGTGTGTGTGTGTGTGTGTGTGTGTGTGTGTGTGTGTGTGTGTGTGTGTGTGTGTGTGCGTGTGTGTGTGCATTGGACAATGAAATAACGACGCACATTTCACTAATTTACTTTCATCTTCATTATTTTATGTTTCTCTACCATCTATATGTCAAGATTTCGCACATAAAAAAAAAGAAATTCTGCCCGTTTTCTCTCATTCTCTCTCTTACCGACTCCCACTTTCTACGATGGTTCGTTTTCTGCGCGTCGCCCCGCCCAGAGAAGCGCTACGAGTACGCCAATAAACTGGCGGCGGCAGTGAGTCAACTACGCACGGCCGGGGAACGGCTGGGCAAGTACGAGATCGAGAAAAGACATGCAATAGACACAGAAAACTACGAGCGCGCCAAGATAAAGAAGGAGCAGGCAGAGGAGTACAGAGAACAGGTCTACAAGGCGCTAGAAATTGAAGACCTGCTGGAAAGGAAGGGGGTAAGTGTTCAGTGAATATTGTCATGTGTAGAATTGTGTAAACAGTTCGGATCCTGTGCTCGTGGATGCAGAAGTGAGAGAGTGGATGCTGAGGTGAAAGAGTGGATACTGAGGTGAGAGAGTGGATGCTGTGGTAAGAGTGGATGCTGAGGTGACAGTGGATGCTGAGGTGACAGTGGATGCTGAGGTGACAGTGGATGCTGAGGTGACAGTGGATGCTGAGGTGACAGTGGATGCTGAGGTGACAGTGGATGCTGAGGTGACAGTGGATGCTGAGGGACAGTGGATGCTGAGGTGACAGTGGATGCTGAGGTGACAGTGGATGCTGAGGTGACAGTGGATGATGAGGGGACAGTGGATGCTGAGGTGACAGTGGATGCTGAGGTGACAGTGGATGCTGAGGTGACAGTGGATGCTGAGGGGACAGTGGATGCTGAGGTGACAGTGGATGCTGAGGTGACAGTGGATGCTGAGGTGACAGTGGATGATGAGGGGACAGTGGATGCTGAGGGGACAGTGGATGCTGAGGTGACAGTGGATGCTGAGGTGACAGTGGATGCTGAGGTGACAGTGGATGCTGAGGTGACAGTGGATGCTGAGGTGACAGTGGATGCTGAGGTGACAGTGGATGCTGAGGGGAGAGTGGATGCTGAGGGGAGAGTGGGTGTTTTCCAGGTGATTATCTTTAGCATTATTAACAAGTTGCAAGGTTCTAATGTTGTATTTTCGTCCATAAATTATTGTCTTGTCTTCCAGACTCTAGTTACCCATCTACAGTCTACATTTTGTGGTTAGTAAGACTAAACAGACGTATTTTAAGACTACAGCACTGATTATTCTATAACTAGTCAGGTGGATGATGAGGTATAGTGTGTGTAAGGTGTATTAAGCGCCATATGTCCAGAGGTGTATGTCTGTATGATTGATATACAGGCTCCGTGTATGTCTGTCTTGTATTGCTTGTATGGGAGCTACGATTCAAAAGGGCCTTTATGCACTGTGTGTGTACTCATGTGTTTGTGGTTGCATGGGTCGAGCCACAGCTCCTGGTGTGTGAGTGTGTATTACCAGCCACTCTACTTATTGTTACCAGTCACTTTATTTAGTGTCACCAGTCACTTTAGTGTTACCAGACACTTTATTTAGTATTACCAGACACTTTATTTAGTGTCACCAGTTACTTTATTTAGTGTTACCAGACACTTTATTTAGTATTACCAGACACTTTATTTAGTGTCACCAGTTACTTTATTTAGTGTTACAAGACACTTCATTTAGTGTTACCAGACACTTTATTTAGTATTACCAGACACTTTTATTTAGTGTTACCAGACACTTTATTTAGTGTCACCAGTCACTTTATTTAGTGTTACCAGACACTTTATTTAGTGTCACCAGTTACTTTATTTAGTGTTAGCAGTCACTTTATTTAGTGTCACCAGTCACTTTATTTAGTGTTACCAGACACTTTATTTAGTGTCACCAGTTACTTTATTTAGTGTTACCAGTCACTTTATTTAGTGTCACCAGTCACTTTAGTGTTACCAGACACTTTATTTAGTGTTACCAGACACTTTATTTAGTGTCAACAGTCACTTTAGTGTTACCAGTCACTTTATTTAGTGTTACCAGACACTTTAGTGTTACCAGACACTTTATTTAGTGTCACCAGTTACTTTATTTAGTGTTACCAGTCACTTTATTTAGTGTCACCACTCACTTTATTTAGTATTACCAGACACTTTATTTAGTGTCACCAGTCACTTTAGTGTTACCAGACACTTTATTTAGTGTTACCAGTCACTTTATTTAGTGTCACCAGTCACTTTAGTGTTACCAGACACTTTATTTAGTGTCAACAGTCACTTTATTTAGTGTTACCAGTCACTTTAGTGCTACCAGACACTTTATTTAGTGTCACCAGTCACTTTATTTAGTGTCACCAGTCACTTTATTTAGTGTCACCAGTCACTTTAGTGTTACCAGACACTTTATTTAGTGTCACCAGTCACTTTAATGTTACCAGACACTTTATTTAGTGTCACCAGTCACTTTATTTAGTGTTACCAGACACTTTATTTAGTGTCACCAGTTACTTTATTTAGTGTTACCAGACACTTTATTTAGTGTCACCAGTCACTTTATTTAGTGTTACCAGACACTTTATTTAGTGTCACCAGTTACTTTATTTAGTGTTACCAGACACTTTATTTAGTGTCACCAGTCACTTTAGTGTTACCAGACACTTTATTTAGTGTCACCAGTCACTTTATTTAGTGTCACCAGTCACTTTATTTAGTGTCACCAGTCACTTTATTTAGTGTCACCAGTCACTTTAGTGTTACCAGACACTTTATTTAGTGTTACCAGACACTTTATTTAGTGTCACCAGTCACTTTAGTGTTACCAGACACTTTATTTAGTGTTACCAGACACTTTAATTAGTGTCACCAGTCACTTTATTTAGTGTTACCAGACACTTTATTTAGTGTTACCAGACACTTTATTTAGTGTCACCAGTCACTTTAGTGTTACCAGACACTTTATTTAGTGTCACCAGTCACTTTAGTGTCACCAGTCACTTTATTTAGTGTCACCAGACACTTTATTTAGTGTCACCAGTCACTTTAGTGTTACCAGACACTTTATTTAGTGTTACCAGTCACTTTAGTGTCACCAGACACTTTATTTAGTGTCACCAGTCACTTTAGTGTTACCAGACACTTTATTTAGTGTCACCAGTCACTTTAGTGTCACCAGACACTTTATTTAGTGTCACCAGTCACTTTAGTGTTACCAGACACTTTATTTAGTGTTACCAGACACTTTATTTAGTGTCACCAGTCACTTTAGTGTTACCAGACACTTTATTTAGTGTTACCAGACACTTTATTTAGTGTCACCAGTCACTTTATTTAGTGTTACCAGACACTTTATTTAGTGTTACCAGACACTTTATTTAGTGTTACCAGACACTTTATTTAGTGTTACCAGACACTTTATTTAGTGTTACCAGTCACTTATTTAGTGTTACCAGACACTTTATTTAGTGTTACCAGTCACTTTATTTAGTGTTACCAGACACTTTATTTAGTGTTACCAGTCACTTTATTTAGTGTTACCAGTCACTTTATTTAGTGTTACCAGACACTTTATTTAGTGTTACCAGACTCTTTATTTAGTGTCAACAGTCACTTTAGTGTTGCCAGACACTTTATTTAGTATTACCAGACACTTAATTTAGTGTTACCAGACACTTTATTTAGTGTTACCAGACACTTTATTTAGTATTACCAGACACTTTATATAGTGTTACCAGACACTTTATTTAGTGTTACCAGACACTTTATTTAGTATTGCCAGACACTTTATTTAGTGTCACCAGTCACTTTAGTGTTGCCAGACACTTTATTTAGTGTCACCAGTCACTTTAGTGTTGCCAGACACTTTATTTAGTGTTACCAGTCACTTTATTTAGTGTTACCAGACACTTTACTTAGTGTCACCAGTTACTTTATTTAGTGTTACCAGACACTTTATTTAGTGTCACCAGTCACTTTAGTGTCACCAGTCACTTTAGTGTTGCCAGACACTTTATTTAGTGTTACCAGTCACTTTATTTAGTGTTACCAGACACTTTACTTAGTGTCACCAGTTACTTTATTTAGTGTTACCAGACACTTTACTTAGTGTCACCAGTTACTTTATTTAGTATTACCAGACACTTTATTTAGTGTTACCAGACGCTTTATTTAGTGATACCAGACGCTTTATTTAGTGTTACCAGACGCTTTATTTAGTGTCACCAGTCACTTTAGTGTTGCCAGACACTTTATTTAGTGTCACCAGTCACTTTAGTGTTGCCAGACACTTTATTTAGTGTCACCTGTCACTTTAGTATTACCAGTCACTTTATTTAGTGTCACCAGTTACTTTATTTAGTGTCACCAGTCACTTTAGTGTTACCAGTCACTTTATTTAGTGTCACCAGTTACTTTATTTAGTGTCACCAGTTACTTTATTTAGTGTTACCAGTCACTTTAGTGTTACCAGACACTTTATTTAGTGTTACCAGACACTTTATTTAGTGTTACCAGACACTTTATTTAGTGTCACCAGTCACTTTAGTGTTGCCAGACACTTTATTTAGTGTCACCAGTCACTTTAGTGTTACCAGACACTTTATTTAGTGTTACCAGACACTTTATTTAGTGTTACCAGACGCTTTATTTAGTGTCACCAGTCACTTTAGTGTTGCCAGACACTTTATTTAGTATTACCAGACACTTTATTTAGTGTTACCAGACACTTTGTTTAGTGTCACCTGTCACTTTAGTGTTACCAGACACTTTATTTAGTGTCACCAGTCACTTTAATGTTACCAGACACTTTATTTAGTGTCACCAGTCACTTTATTTAGTGTTACCAGACACTTTATTTAGTGTCACCAGTTACTTTATTTAGTGTTACCAGACACTTTATTTAGTGTCACCAGTCACTTTATTTAGTGTTACCAGACACTTTATTTAGTGTCACAGTTACTTTATTAGTGTTACCAGACACTTTATTTAGTGTCACCAGTCACTTTAGTGTTACAGACACTTTATTTAGTGTCACCAGTCACTTTATTTAGTGTCACCAGTCACTTTATTTAGTGTCACCAGTCACTTTATTTAGTGTCACCAGTCACTTTAGTGTTACCAGACACTTTATTTAGTGTTACCAGACACTTTATTTAGTGTCACCAGTCACTTTAGTGTTACCAGACACTTTATTTAGTGTTACCAGACACTTTAATTAGTGTCACCAGTCACTTTATTTAGTGTTACCAGACACTTTATTTAGTGTTACCAGACACTTTATTTAGTGTCACCATGTCACTTTAGTGTTACCAGACACTTTATTTAGTGTCACCAGTCACTTTAGTGTCACCAGTCAACTTTATTTAGTGTCACCAGACACTTTATTTAGTGTCACCAGTCACTTTAGTGTTACCAGAC